ACACACTTGCACGCACACATGTACACACATGCATGCACACGTGTACACACACAAACGCGCAAGCACACGCGGACACTGGTGTTCTCTCCACCAGGCTGGGGTCAGGAACACAGACTCCAGAGATGGGTGAGTCGGTGAAGACAGGGAGGGAAGGGCGAGGAACAATATACACCCCCGCGCGCTGGCACTGCGGTCACACTCACGAAGGGCTGGGCGAGCCCGAGGCCTCGCAGGTGAGGGTGATGTCATCGCTGGAGAAGGCGGTGAGGTTCCTCGGGGACTGGGCCGTGATCACAGGGGGCTGGTCATCTGGAGAGGGAGAGGGGGGTTAACACATGCACTGTACACTGCTGTGCACTAGCGCAGCACTCAGAGACAGGGCGGGAAGTGATCTGAAGACCTCTACTGAAACGGGCTTGGAAGACGGCAAACAGAGAGCCAGCCTTCTGTTGTATGAGCAGTGACACTGGTGGACCAGCAGGTGGCGCTGTCTTTCTAGTTCTCCTTATTCCTTACAGCCCCCCAGGGCAGTGCCCCCCCGTGTGGCAACAGGAGTCGTCGTGCTGAAGCTGGTTTCTATTAAACAGATGTTAAACATAATTCCTATCTGCTGTGCACAGTGAAAAATCCTATTCAAAATAACTTCTTACATTAGGATCTAAGAACCATAAATTCTTTGTTGGTGCCTGTTGTTGCAGGGCTGGAATAATGCATTCCCATACTGGATTAGCACACAGGATTCGGTCTAGGATTCTAAGGTTTTGCTTTCTCGCACAGCGGCACTAACACAATTACAGTTGGGAGTATGTCCCCGTCACCCCTGTACACTATGAGGAATTATTCCCCCAGCAGACCTCTGTCTACAGCTTTGCTCTCCTGTCCACTGCGAAGCTCTGTTTAACCCTGTCCCATACACAGAACTGTTATTTCCACAAGAGGAGGTGTCGTCTTGACCGTCACACTGCAATGCTCTTCTGCTAGAGGAAATCCATCCACAGTAAGATTAATCCAGCTGGTTCTGATCTAAAGCGCAGAAGGCAGAGGAGTTCCTCTCTCTTGCCGCTTGTGTCCTGCAGGGGGAGCTGCTGCCTACATGGGCAGGGCCAGACCACTAGCATCTCTTAAAAGCTGTGGAGATCCTCAGGGAGACATAAGCTATATAAATGCAAAACACTGATATTACAAATAAGTGTCATTTTTCTAACATATTTTTAACATGGCCTTGATTACACTATCCTGCATTGTCTCTATAAAAACCCCGTGTCTCTTCTTTAAATGTAGATATTTACATTTTAATGAAATGCGCATTATTAAAAAACTGGTTTCACCTCACCAGGCCAATATAAAGACAATTTGAATTTAAAATTTGAATTTTGGAGAGAGAGGTGGAGATGGAGAGAGGAGACAGAGAGATAGGAGAGGGAGGAAGAGAGACTGGAGAGACAGAGAGATTTATTAAAACCATGCGTGGCCTCAAAGTCAGATGAGAGGCATCCTGGAGACAGAGATAATAAGAATTTCTGATCTGATGAAATTTACTATATTATAGCCTTCAGGCTCCTCTGAGATATTGGAGTCACGAAGGTTAAACTCTCCCTCCATCGCTCTCTCTCTCTCCCTCTCCTCTTACAGGCCTGACTGGGCCCTTACAGTGTTGCACAACAGACCATTAACAACAGCAGCAACAGGTAATTAAGTACAATAGCTGCAGTGTAGAAAATAACAGGTGGACGTTCTTAACTGGAGTTGGGGAAGGAAGATGACAGGCAAGCGTCTCACCTCCGCAGTTCAAAATCAGTATCATCGCCCACAGCAGCTGTCAGAGCTGTATACTGTGCATGAATCACACGCAAACCCCTCTTCTTCTCTCATGTCTGCTTGTGCAACCCTCATCTCCCCCGTCCCCACGCCTACAGCCCCCCGTGGTTAACGCCTCACTTCACAGCGGGCCCTGGGGTTTAATCCAGGTCTCACTCCACCTCAATTCTCAACAAACATCCAACACTTTTCATTCTTGGGTGTCATTATTCCATCCATCCATTTTCTAACTGTTTCTTCCAATTCCGGATCGCGGGGGACCCAGAGCCTATTCTAGCCAGCAATGGGCTCAAGGCAGGGTACACTGGAAGTGCTGCTGGAAGAGGTGTTAGTGGGGCCAGTAGGGGGCGCTCACCCTGCAGTCTGGGTGGGTCCTAATGCCCCAGTATAGTGATGGGGACACTAGACTGTAAAATAGGCGCCGTCCTTCTGATTACACTTAAAACAGAGGTCCTCTCTGTGGTCAATAAAAATCCCGGGGCGTTTCTCGAAAAGAGTAGGGCTGTCACCCCAGTGTCCTGGCCAAATTTCCCACTGGCCTTTACCCATCATGGCCTCCTAATAACCCCCCTCTCTGAACTGGCTTCATCACTCTGCTCTCCTCCCCACTGAGAGCTGGTGTGTGGGGGGAGGACTGGAGCATCATCCAGGTGGGGCTGCACACTGGTGGGGGTGGAGGGGATCCCCATTACCTGTACAGCGCTTTGTGTTGAGTGTCCTATATAAGTGGAAGGGATTATTATTATGACACCCCTGGAAAGGATGCCAGTCCATTGCGGGGCACACACAGACACACACGCACACACTCACACCCTCACACCAGGGCCAGAATCTTCCTGGAGGCCAAGAAACTTCCCAGTATGTTTTCAGACTGTGGGAGGAAACCCACACGAACACAGGGAGAACATACAAACTCCACACAGACAGCACCAAAGGACTATCTGACCACAGGGGGCTGTAGGCGTGGGGACGAGGGAGATGAGGGTTGCACAAGCAGACATGAGAGAAGAAGAGGGGTTTGCCACCCTGTCATTATCTTATCTCAGGACACTGAAGATAGCGATATTCGAACAGCTCGTGTGCTGACTGGCCACTGGGGAAATATCCAAACATCATACTTTGTGTCTCCCATGTCTCCTTAAGAGAAACTGCTTTTCATTGCTCTACTCCTGAAAGTAATCATTTAACATCCCTGTTTTTGAGACAGATGTTATCATGGGCTTCAGTGCAGCTGTTTTTATCTTGTGGGTTTCCTGCTTGAAGAGATTCAGACAACATGGCAATGGAACTTCCTTTCAGACGGGCAAAACTAGTGATTCATGCTAAGCAGAAGAGCAGGACTGAGGGCCAGGAATTCTTCAGTGTTGTTCTGCATTTAGAGCCTAGGAGAAGAGCTACTTCTGCAGGTGCCTGAATGATCTGCCGGTACAAAAACTGTGCCATCAAACACGCTTCCCTCTAATCTGTCGTGAGCGCATTACATTTGGACCTTGTTTTATCTGCTGGGAGGGCAACATCTATTTTTCCCTGCTGACAGAGGGAGCACAGCCTGTCATCTCTTCTGTGGTTACCGAGCCTGTCCACTCTGGGCAGCCAGGTCTGCCTGTGTCCAGGTTCTATG